ATTGGTCATTCTGGTTCATTGTTAGGAAGGGTTTTCTGATACTTTGCCATTAGCTTGAAATTTTATAAATCAGACAGGAATTTTCATGTTTTAAAAAAAGATTGCCCATTATGAGTTATAATTCTGTAATTGTGTTGGTTCAGATAAGCTTGTTGGAATAGAGATCCGCACCCCCCCCCCTTTTTTTTCACTGTTGAACTTTGCCCATTACGCACATCCTGTAAAGGGAAACTGACTGGGGGGGCATATTTCAGAGAACCTTTATAATCTCTACATCTTTGGGAGGGAGGAGTGAACATTATGCACTCACGAGCGTTAAAACACTGTTTAGTCGTTCATGTTCTTGATTTCATTTTCATGATAGTTGGAGCAAAATGCTTAAAAGGGGTAAATGGCAAACCACTGAACCAGAAACAGACCACGCGAGCAGGGCTCATGCAGTTAATTAGTCATCTCTTGTCAGTGGAGGCCATGCAGAGGCAATAGCTGACAGCTATGAAGGAACTGGAGAGATGAGTTTCTGGCATGGATATGGATCTTTTATTGTAGTAACAATAGTTTATTCTTCAAATTGGAAATGAGAGCAAGGTTGCTTAGCAATCGTGTAGGCGCTAAAAGAATGGCCTTTGGAGGAGCAAGGCATTTGAAGTGGGATAAATTCAACTTTTTCAAGAAATTTACAGACGCTCTTATTAGAGCGATTCAGGGGGAGTCATTTTACAAATCGAGAACTTGTAGTCCTCTTTCCTCCAGATTGTTTTTGTCCTGATCTGCTTTCCAGCTTCCTCATCTGGAGAGGAAGCTAGTGCTTCTTGGAACAGTTTCACCCAAAGGCGGGTGCTATGACGGGGGGCTCCCACAGCGAGAATGGTCCCGGATTTCTAGGCATGTGTATTTCTTTGCCACTGGGTTTAACTTGGCTCTGCTAACAAGCGCCAGCCCTTTTGTTGGGTCCTGGAGAGCTTATTGGGTGTGGCTGGGGGAGCACCAGTTCACTGCACCCTAGCCATGTGCATGAACGCGTGGCCACAGTCACTTGTGTATAGGCAGGGCTCTCTATTTTTCTAGAAGGAGAGGGAAGGTGGCACAGTGTGGCAAAGCATGAGGCTTGGGTTCTAGTCCCAGTTTTACTACACATAAAATTCTGTGATTTGGGGCACATCTCCTAATCTCTGAATCAGCCTCTTCATCTGTAAAAGGCGGTTATATCTACTGTCCCAGTGACGAGACTAAAACCAGCTAATGGATGATGTGAGTCTACTCTGAAAAGCATGAACTGCTGTATAAGCTTATGGAGTTTTAATTTCTTCTTACTGGTTTACAGTCTGGCTTTCAACATTTTGGTTTCTTTATATATTTTATTTTTTATTTGAAAAAATTGACATACTGTCTAGAGTTTAAAAAAAATTACTGAGGGGCTGGCCCCATGGCATAGTGGTTAAGGTTCAGCGTGCTCTGCTTTGGCGGCCTGGGTTTGTGGGTTCAGATCCCAGGCAAGGATCTATACTACCCGTCAGCCCTGCTGTGGCAGTGACCCACATATAAAGTGGAGGAAGATTGGTACCGATGTTAGCTCAGGGCTAATCTTCCTCAGGAAAAAAAAATGGCTGATAAAAATTTTTAATAAGTTTTAAAGATAGCACAAAATCTTTTTCTCTTTTAGTAACAAAACTTTTTCAGTTATCTATTATTTGGTTTGTTGTTATTTTGTTTGAAGAAGACTTTCCTGTTCTAGCCCTTACTAACAATGGGAAAAGCTGAACTTCTGATCTAAATTATAGTTCTTTTTGCTGAATTCATGAAATGAGTTTGGGTTAACAGTTAAGGATTGGGCTTTAAAAAAAATTGTTTTTAGAGACGAGTCCAGCTCCTTATTTTGCAGCGAGGATGCTGAGACTAAGCGAGTAAGTAGCAAAATATTACAGTATTGAAAAAGGGCAAATGGCAAACCACTAAACAGGAACAGACCACATGAGGAGAGCTGGGGCGCAGGTTTCCTCCTCTAGGGTCCTTGTTACCCTAATGTGCTGCTCCCTCACAGTTGGCTTAACTAAATAAAAGTGGTTAAAACAATTAGCACTGAATTCAGCTATCCCTGTATTTAACAGAAGTCCTGTTTAATTGTCCAAGGCTGAAGTCTAGAGTTCAAATCTAAATCTGCAGTGGGATCACTGAATTGAACTAAGCACCTAACATACAAAGAGCATTGTTGTTGACTTCAGAGATCTAAAAACATAATGTTCCTTGTTACTAGAGAGTGATGACCAGGTTCTAGTCTAAAAACCTGAGTTCTAGTCTCAGTTCTGCTCAGTAACTTTAGTCCAGACAAATTTAATCTCTTTGAGCCAGTACTCACCGTCTGTAAGATGAGAAGGATGACAATATGGCATTCAAGACCCCTGCTAGGACTTTAGTTGGAGGATTTATGAAACCCAAAGGCAGAAAAAGGGGTGGGTATGGGAGAGATTAGTGTCTCCTTTTTGTATCCTGAGGACTTTGCATTAATCCACCACTTTTTTCATGTTAGGGCCCTGTCTGGAAAGCCTTCCAGCTGCCCTTTTCCTCTCCACACATTCTCCTTATTTTAAGGCCTGGCTTACATTTCCCTTCCTCTGTGAAGTCGTGTCACTCACTATTTCTCCTGCTGGAACTCATTTATGGCCCTTCCGCCGCACTCATCCGTTAATCATGGTACATTGCTGTGGACTATGTCTTCCTTTTAGACCTCATTTCTAGGGAGTGGGTTAATGTAGAAGTATAGACTTTGAAGATAAATAAGTTTAATTGTGTGATCTTGGGCTGGCCACTTTTAAAAATAGATATTTAATTTTTTAAATAGGTAGTACATTTTTGAATAGGTAAATTTTTTTTCAAAACTTAATAGAAAGGGGAGGCCGCAGTGACAAGTCGTCGTCTACCCCTAGTATACCATCAAACTAGTCTTTCCCCTCTTGTTATTAGTTTCTTATATATCTTCCTAGAGGTCCTTATTTTTCCTTCCTTTTTTGTTTACTTAAAAGATGGCACACTATACGTAGTCTTAGGTACATTGCTTTTTCTCTTAATTTATCTTGGAGATCTTTGCATATCACTACACACTGAGCTTCCTCATTGTTCTCAACGTTTTATGGATGTGCCGTAGTTTAACCAGTGGTTGGGAATTTTTGCTTCAGTAAAGTCCCAGATGATTTTAAAATTTGAATGACCTTTGAGCCGTATCTGAGAAATATGCTCTTTATTTCTCTAAAACTTTTATTTCGGTAGTATGTAGGTACAGTTTTTAAGCGCTTTATTTACCTTCTTGATGTTGATCTTAACAAACCTCTTTGGGGGTAGACGCTATATAGATTTTGGCAGGTTAGTAGAGAAAGGAGAGCTCTAGTTAGGATTTTGCTGACTGTGGTGCAGGATTCTTCAGTAACAGCTCCACCGTGCTCTGTTCGTGTGCTCTCCTGCTGGCAGATAGAGGGTTTGCTTGAGTAACACAGCCTGCTTTGTAGGGGCTGATAAAAGTCTTCATTACTTCATTTATAACCATTTGTTAATTTACTTCCTTTACTTTACTTACTTCCTTAAAACCAGTAGAGCATGTAGAAAAGGATCTCCACATAAATGAAGCTTTGAGAAACAAAACAAATGTAGAAAGAAGATATGCAAATGTTTTTATAGAGAAAATTTTTTTGATCTTAAAAATATTCTAACTAAAATATGTGTATGCAGAAAAAAGTTACTTGCTTAATGGAATTAAAAGTCTTCATTGAGATGAATGTGGCCCTTTAAATGATTAAATGGGTAGGGCTGAGAAAAATAGAGAATATTTTCTCCTGGAATTTAACATCTAGTAAGATTCTCTGTTAAGGCAGGTACAGCCTTATCTGTGTAATTTGACCTGATTAGAATGCACAAATGAAATGGAAGGGGTTTAAGTTTTATTTTTAAATCTTCATTTAATGTAAAATAAGATTAGTACTGAGACAGCCCAAACTGCTAATTCAACTACCTGAGTGTTAAAGTGTGCACTTGGGTAATCGCCAAGACCACTAACCCTTTATGCAGTTGTACATCACTTAACAACGAGATAAGTTCTGAGAAATGCCTTGTTAGGTGATTTCGTCACTGTGCGGACATCATAGTGTGTACTTACGCAAACCTAGACCGTGTAGCGTACTACACACCTGGCTATATCGTACTAGTCTTATGGGACCGCCGTTGATAATGCATGCGGTCTGTCTTTGACCGAAACGTCATCATGTGACACATGACTGTAGGGAATGCAGATTTTCTACACAATATTTTCAACCATTGTGGTGACTCCTGAGATATTTTTGCTTTTAATTTTTCTTATATTTCTAAACTAGGCCCTTGATTTCTTTCTTTTTTTATATTTATACTCTTTTATACTCATGCTGAAAACTTAGCCTAGCATCATAGAATTTTAGAGATGTTTGGACACTTAAACATTGGAAATTAATATTTGGTATATTTGTATGTTAACTTGGCCCTTCCTATTGAGCAAAGGAGAACACTGAAGCCCAGAGATGCTGTGACTGTTCAGGTCAGCCACCTTGTCCAGAAGCCCTGGCTGCGGCTGCCGTGTATCAGCTTCTTTCTCCAGCAGCTCTAATTGACTGACGCAGCTCTGCTTTGGGAGAAGTTTAATTTTGAACACATTCTTTTGCTCTTTCCCGCGTTTTTCTTTCCAATGTGGGCCAATTAATAAAAGACTACAAGGAATATTAGTCAACAGGCCTTGCATGGAGCCTGGCTCATTGTAGGCATGTAAGAGAACTTGTTTGAAGTGACCCAAAACTGGGGAGGGAATGAGAGACACTCTAGGGTAACAAGTAGGGAGCTGGCAGCCTAGCAGTGCTCACCCCGCGTGTGTTGGTTTATTCTGCATCTTTCTCTCCCCGGGGCAGGGAGGAGCCAGTTTGTTCAGACAGTGAAGGTGCCGTGTGCTGCTTAGTGGCTACCTTTTAACTACTCTCTTTCTCCCTTAGGTCCTTTCCCATAATCTGTGCACAGTGCTGAAGGTTCCACATGACCCCGTTGCCCTTGAAGAGCACTTCAGGGATGACGATGAGGGGCCCGTCTCCAACCAGGGCTACATGCCGTATTTAAACAAGTTCATTTTGGAGAAGGTATGATTCTAACCTCTTCCTGCTCACAGCATTGTTTGATTTGTGCCTGTCAGCTGGGCCCCGGAGCCCCTTGTTGGTGAGTTCACTGAGGAGTTCAGGCGAGAAGCACCGGGAGAGGAATCAGAAAGGAAAGAAAGGATGAGAGACTGGCGATGCCCCCTACGTCTCCCTCTTCCCCACTGTCTGCTAAAACTTGCTTTGATGTTTTTCCAACTTGGCTCATTTTTTTGAAATTGAGAACTGTTTTTTGTATTAATCTCTACCTGTCTTCTCTCAGGGTGCTTTTTCTTTCCTTTTCAAATTCTGGTTCCACCTGTACTGGCAACAGTCGTTAAACCATGGGTATGATGGGGTAAAATGTGAATACAAAAAAAAGATGTTAATTATCTTTACTAAATAGGTATTATATAGCAAAATTTTCATCCTAGATTCTTCAGAGTACCACTCGGATGCCTCCTCTGGGCTCTGATATGAGTAGAGATGCTGCAAAACCCTATTATGTGTTAGGAAGACAAATATAATGTATTGGCGTTTACTACCGTGTTCAGTTTCTCTCTTGTTTTGGAAAATTAAAAATTGACACATGAAAGTATTGAATTTAATGTACTTTTATTTCTTTTTAGAAGAAAATAATCTAAACTGATGGTACATTTAAGTAATTAAAAAAATTGGTGATTAGTGGCCAGCCTAGTGGTGTAGTGGTTAAGTTATTAGTACACTCTGCTTCTGGCTTGCAGGTTTGGATCCTGGGCACAGACCTACATACCACTCATCAAGCCAAGCTGTGGTGGCATCCCACATACAAAGTAGAGGAAGATTGGCACAGATGTTAGCTCGGGGCCAGTCTTCCTCTCACACACACAAAATGGTGATTAAAAAATTACAAAAGGTAGCGCATGCTTGTTATTAAATAGGCAATCAGTATAGAAATATATGACATAAAAAGTGAGTGTTCCTTTACACTTTCTAATCTGACTCTCTAGGAGTAACACCACTATTAACAGTTTGGTCAATATCTTTGCAGACCTTTTTTAATATACATGCATACACACACCTACACAACATAGTGTTTTGTTTCTATATGAATAGGATCATGCTATACATATAGTTCTTCAGCTTATTTTTTTAACTGAATAATATATTAGTGTCATCTTTCCATATAATGTACATTTGGTTTAGATATAAAAGTAATCATATATTCACATGAAGAGTTGGGAATTCCTGCTTTTGCCTATTTATAACACCAAGCATGTAAGTTTTTTTTTTTGGTGAAGAAGATTAGCCCTGAGCTAACATCTACCACCAATCCTGTTTTTGCTGAGGAAGATTAGCTCTGAGCTAACGTCTGTGGCCATCTTCCTCTATTTTATATGTGGGATGCCTGCTCATTTTCCCATCACCTAAATACCACAACTATTACATATTTTTTTCTATGACTTTTTGGATTTTTATTGCTATTTATAGTTATAAATTCTTTTTATAGTTTAGTGTCTTTTTATATTAGCAAAGTACAGTATTTACAATTTATGATAATTTAAATTAGTAGTTTGGAAAATGCTGAAATGTTGGTCAGGATTCTTTTTAAAAATCACATATTTTTGGGAAATTTTGTGGTGAAGATTGTCAAAATTAGTGTCTTCATTTATGTTGTTTTCTTTATAGCTATATCTGTTATTCCAAAGCAGTCTCACAGTACAATTTTCTGCTCTTCAGTTCTGTGTGTCTTATATGTATATGTGTTATAGATGTTTCTTAAGTATTCCCCCTGCAGAGATGATAACATCGCCTTGATCATAGTTAAATTAAAAAAGAGAGAGAAACCACACCGTAATGAAATGTAAGATTTAATCAAACTCACAAAAGCCACGTCCTGTCTGATTCCATACGTGTATAAAATATCCAGAATAGGCAAACACATGTTTAGTGTTGCCAGAGGCTGAGGGGAAATGGGAGTGGTGAGTGATGACTAATGGATTTAGGATTTCTTTTTGGGGGCGATGAAAATGTTCTAGAGTTAAATAGTGATGGTGGTCGCAAAACCTTGTGAGTGTACTAAAAACTTCTGCATTGTACACTTTAAACCCTGAGTTTTATGGTATGTGAATTATATCTCAATAAAGTGATTTAATCAAATTGTACAGAAAGTGATGTGTGAGGTCTCAGAACTTTATGGGATGGTGCTGTACTGTTTTCTGGAGCTGTTTTGGTTGCTGTCTGTTCATTGATCAGGTTCATTTATGTTCTATAGTTGTATATACGTAATTATGTCATATTCAGCAAATAGATGATGACCTACTCTGTGCCTGTGTTTAATTTTAAAAATTAAAAAGACAATAAGCAGAATTATGTCTGTTATTAAAATATAGAACATACTAGAAAATTCTTAGAAATCTGGAAATTGCTTTGTTTTTCACTGCTGGAATTTGTGTGGGCTGGGCCAGTGGATAGAGAAACCTAGTTTAATATCTTGAATGCTGTACCCTAATACTGTATTTTGTTCTCCTTGGAGTGTTCTCCTTTGTTCTCCTTTGTTTAAACATCTTGAATTTTAAGTTTTAAAGTGTTCTTTGTTGTAGTATTTAGGTATTTTAAAGTATTGTAACCAAGGGAGAAAATGTAGCACTATTTAAAAAATCCAAAATGAGCTGCTAAATTTGGAGAAAAACTTATTCACAGAGCGTGAGGGTGTGATGAAACAGTGAGGCCTTGTTTACTATCGCTCCGCCACCTGGAGTGGAATTCTGCCAGTTCTTCAATCCGAATAAAGCAGCCGAGGTTTCCGTGGTGTGGGTTTAAATTGAGTGGAGATTAGTGCCTTGTTTTGAAACTTAGTTGGAAAAAAATTGCCAATAATGGCCGAAGAATGTTAACATAAAACTTAGAGATTGTCATTAGTTATGCAAAGAAAATATGAAATAATGATTAACCATTTGCATGATATACTTACGTACACACACACACACACACGCGCGCACACATGAGTCTCATCCGATCTTCACATTAATCCTGCAGTGCATCTCTGGAGTTCTTACCCTCTTTAACTCAGGAGGAAACAGAGCATGAGGCTGCCTAACTGGTAAGGGGTAGATGATTTTGCACCTAAGTCATTTAACTTCTAGATCAGTCTGCTTCCGACTGTACAATGAAGGGATTAATTGCTCCCTTCTAAAATTGTTCTGTTTTTCCACTTATTGGATACATGGGGGCAGGGGTGGAGTGGTGAGGGCATTCTGATAATCTCGAATTTATCTCAGCCTCGTTTAGTTCTCTTAGGTTCTTTCTGAGGTGTTTTAAGATGTTCCTTTTCTCTTAATTAGTATCTGGTGTTTCTTAGTGCTCATTTTGGTCAGTTTTCCCTCAGGTGTTTTAAAGATTTTATTTATTTTATTTATTTTTATTTTTCCTTTTTTCTCCCAAAGCCCCCCAGTACATAGTTGTGTATTTTTAGTTGTGGGTCCTTCTAGCTGTGGCATGTGGGACGCCGCCTCAGCATAGCTTGATGAATGGTGCCATGTCCGCGCCCAGGATCCGAACTGGCGAAACCCTGGACCACCGATGTGGAGCGCTCGAACTTAACCACTCAGCCATGGGGCCGGCCCCTCTTATTATCCTTCAGTGTGTTATTTTTTCTTTCATTGTTGCTTGAAAATTATACGGTATTAATTTGGCACAATGGTCAAGTTGGACTCTATATTTTCATCATGTTTGTGAAGTTATACGGGACTAGAAAACTTCTGAGTGAATAAAAAGATTCCCTGCTGAGAACTGTGGATGATGTTATGCCATTGAACACTGGCCAGCAGTATAAATCTACGAGTGATGTAGTTTAAAGAAATATTGGTTTTTCAAATAACAAGTTTATTGAGGTATAATTCACATACCATACAATTTAACTGTTTAAAGTGTACAATTCAGCAGTTTTTAGTATAGTCACTTTTTTGTGCAACCATCACCACAATCAATTTTAGAATATTTTCATCATCTTTCCTCAAAAAAACTGTACCCAGTTGGCACTCCCTCTCTCCTCCTCCACAGCCCTAGGCAACCACTAATCTGTTTTTTGTGTCTATGGATTTGCTTATCCTGGCCTCATAATATGAGTGGAATCATGTAATATGAGGGCTTTTTTGTCTGCCTTCTTTCACTTAGCGTAATGTTTTCAAGGTTCGTCCACATTGTAGCGTGTAGCAGCACTTCATTCTTTTTTATGGCTGAATAATATTCCATTAAGGACGTACCACATTTTGTTTGCATATTCATCAGGTGATGGGTGTTTGAATTGATTCTACTTTTTGGTTATTATGAATTTGCTATGAGCATTCATGTTCAAGTTTTTGTCTGGATGTATGTTTTCACCTCTCTCGGTATATACCTAGGAATTGCTGGGTCATATGGCAACTCTATGTTTAACCTTTTGAGAAACTGCCAAACTGTTTTCCAAAGCAGCTGTGCATTTTACTTTCCTGCTGGCAATGTATGAGTGTTTCAGTTTCTTCATATCCTTACCAACTCTTGTTATTTTCTGTTGTTTTGGTTATAGCCATCCTAGTGGGTGTAAAGTATGGTATCTTACTAGGTTTTGATTTGCGTCTCCCTGATGGTTGATACAAAGTATTGTTTTTAAAGTTTTTTTTTAATTTTAAAGGTAATACAGGCTATTATTGGAAATTTAGAGAAAGAAGGAATTTATTAAGACAATATATATCACCCATAACCTTACCATCTAGAGGCAGTCACTGTTAACATTTTGATCTGTTTGCTTTATTTTTTATCTGTCTTTATTTTTTAAAATATGTTTTGTATATATTATTTTTCAAGTTGGGATCATACTGAACACTTGACATTAATATTGCCTTTCCCATGTCATTATAATTTTTTTGAAAACATGAGTATAAAGATAAAAATGCTAACATTTATTTAGTCTACTGTGTATCAGGCACTATGCTAAATGTTTTAAACCAGTAGTCTAAGTATGTCTTTCTATCAACTCTGTGGATTAC